AATTTTTTTTTTTTTTTCTTGAAATTTTCTATTTGTAGATCCTTGATGATCCTTAAATGTCACGACAAACGTAGTCTGACGTGCGCTTTCCTTATTTTATTTTCATATGGGGGTTATTGATGCATTATTTATGCAAACGTTATAACGTAACTTGAGCACGAACTTATATTTCATAAAAAAAAAAATAATAATTAGGTTCAAGGAAATAATTATGCTCCTCCAGGATGGTTTTATTTTTCATTCTAATAATGTGATGATAAAAAACTATTGTTTACAAGTATAATGTGTTTTCGTTGGGATGGTTTCACCCCCTATTTTAGGGGTTGAAAATTTTTTTACACACAAAAATTTAAACTGATATTTCAGTCAAGTCTTGGTTTTGTAAACGAAACCTGCCTTACATATACGTGAGTTTTGATCGAGTCACGAGTCAAGCACTGACGAGATGAGCTCCAATCCTGATAATGTCGATAAACAATCGCAAGTGACAACGTTTACGAGTTGTTACTCGGTGTTCCGATCGTCATATCCCTGTAGTGAAAAGAAAGTTGGTTTTTCAGCCAACGTTCATATTAAATTTTGCAACCCTCGACAGAGGGGGTGAAAACAACCCCTTAAAAATATTACAAGAGAAAATTTTGAAACGTTCAACTGGAAAGCAACCTGTTGACGAAATCATGGTAAAAAAAAAAAAAAAAAAAAAAAATCCTGTCTAGGATGAAGGTCCAGAGAAAAGAAAAAAAAATGCACTTATTCTCCGCGGAATCCACCGTATGTACTCACGACGAATGTGTGTACTCACGCACGGTCGGCGCGACGTTGCCGGTGTTGCCGGCTCTCAGTCGTCCACTTCCCCTTTTTTCCCGGCCGATGCTGCCCCGTGTGTATGTAGGGTACCCTCTTTCCGCACCGCCCGCTCGCCCATCGTAAAACGGAGCAACCGATAGAGAGCGGAGCTCGCGGCGGCGCGAAGCCGGTTCAGTCGCTCGCAGCTCGCGCTACCGTTTACGTCGCAATCGACCGCAAGCAGCAGCAGCAGCCAACCCTCTCTCTCTCTCTCTCTCGTTCGTTCGTTTGTTTTCTTTCTTTTTTTTCTTTTTTGCGCGCACACGCGAGCGCGAGGAGTGCTCCGTTTTTCCACCCTCCCCCGTAGTACGCGCGCGTCTGCCCAAAACACATACCCATACTACTCATTGTTCCGCGTAGCGTTTCCCCGGTCCCGAAAAAAAAAAAAAAAAAAAAAAAAAAAATTCAAGTTATTGACAAAGAAAACAGTGGGTGATCGACAAACAACAAAGGGGTGCAGTGGGTACGAGTTGTACAGAGGAAGATAGGTAATATACCACAGTGGGTGTCGTTGATGAATAATAATAATAATTGTCGTGGTCGTCGGTGTGAATTATCAATTGGCTTTGAGGATGCAGCGAGGCCCCACAACGGGCACCGTTAGCTCAACCAAGTGACCCATCGCGCGCTAAACAAGGGCGTACGTACGCAGTCATCGGAGGTACACATCGGAGGTAGAGGGGAAAAGAAAAAAAAATTGATCGGAGCCCACCGAATCACACACGCGCGACAAAGTTAGATCAGCCAAGATGATGGGAAAGCGCACGCAGTGCTACCTGTGCGACCTGCCCCGCATGCCCTGGGCCATGATAATGGAGTTCTCGGAGCCGGTCTGCCGGGGCTGCGTCAACTACGAGGGCGCCGACCGCATCGACATGGTCCTCGAGACGGCGCGCCAACTGAAAAAGGCCCACGGGTTTCAGCCGGACGCGAGGCCCACGGGCCCGGCCAAGGCATACCGGTCGACCGCCTCGCACGCCGAGCACAACGGCCAGGCCGGCCTCGACGTCCTCCAGCCCATGCAAAGCGCGGCCGTCGCTGCCGCCGCTGTCCAACAGAGCCACGCGCGCCACCACGGCATCTCGCCGGCCGGCTACACCCAGCTCCAGCACCACCGCAACTCCATCGGAGAGTTTGCCGCGGCTGCTGTTCCCCAACAGCAGCAGCAACAGCAGCAGCAGAGCCAGCGCCAAGCTCAGCAGCAGCTGTCGGCTCGCCAGCAGCAGCAACAACAGCAGGCCGCGGCCGCGGCTCAGCAGCACCACGAGGAGGCCCAACACGAGTTGGCGGTGGCGGCGGCCAACGGGTTGAGGGCCGCAGGGGGGGTGCAGCAGAGGATGAGCAGCGCCCATTTGACGGCGGTGGCGGCGCACCACGTGAGCTTGAGCCAGCACGGCCGGGCCATGGGCCAATTGAAGCGGGGCATTTCGGCCATCGAGGAGGACGAGCACGTCGAGAAACGGCTGTCCCTCGAGGAGCAGCAGCACAGCGTCAGGCCACCACTGACCCGTGGGGACTCGTTGCCCGCGGTTAGCCTCGCGGTTAGCTACGTCGACCGCGCCAAGGACAAGCACCCCATTCGCGCACCCAGCTTCGAGACGGCCACCACCTTCAAGGCCAATGGTGAGTACCTGCTATTATTTATTTATTTATTT